TGCTGAACCACCTGAGAAACCTTCTGGCAGTGGTGGCAGCAGGTGGTCTACATCCTTCGAGTATAACAACTCCATTATTATTGTTATTATTATTGTTGTTATTGTTATTGTTGGAAGTTGGACGTTCGGACGGCGATGCTCTACTGTATGGCGACATCCAAGCTGTGGTCGTGCTTTGGATAGTGGCTCCTTTGACGGTAGTAATGGAACTGGTTATCTTAGCCGGGTGCGACACCCAATCTTCCGATGCGACGGGCATTTGTCTCGTCCTTTCGTCGGACGAGTCAAAAACGAAACCACAGAATGGGAAAGTCATTCAAGGTTCTAAGCCCTTCCGCGTGCACAACTGTCCTGGAAATTCGAGCGAGTGGCTAAACATGATTCCGAGGTGTGCGCGCGGCACAGGCGTGTCGACTGGTCTCGCGAGACGTCTAAAATGGCGTAGCCGTTCGCGTAAATGACAAATCCTGTGGCGCGCTCCTTCCCCCTTTGCAACTTCCGCGCTCCGTAACCGACCGACCGAACGCGATCTTGCACGTTTCCTTCAAACTCGGCCAGCGAGTTTTTCTCCGCTATTCGCGAGAAAGAGAACCGACGAGGATACGCTTTTTGCGCGTATCCCAAGTTTCGCGGTCGTCGCTTCCAACTTTATCTACGTTGCTCGGATGTTTGCTTTAGCAGCGAACAGTCACGTGCTTCCCCTTAACTTGTTGCACGCACCTCCGCGACTCTTTCTGTATTCTAAATGCGACCCTGCTTGTCCGATCGATGCACAGTCATCGCTCTTCCCTCGCTGATCTCTCTATTTCCTTCGCAAACGATTCACCAAATTTCTCTTTGTTTACGATTTCACACTCGCTCGCGTTTCCGTATTCCCTTATCATTCGCACGAGACGCGATACAAGGAAGAGGTACCGCGCCGAATTAAACGGTTCCTCGTAAACGTAGATAAAAACTGCGGTTTAGTTCTGTTAAAATTCGGTTAACAAAACGGACGAGCTATTCGATTTATTTGGTACGTTATAAGGTACTTGGTTTTCATCGCAGCCTTTCTATGTAATACTATGCTACGTGGTGGAATGGCGGTGGTTATATCCAGGTAAACTACGCGGATACGAGAAACATTTTACGTATGTATATTTCAAAGAAACACCCGCGAACGAAGCGTCTAGCGATGCTTTCCAGAGATCGTTTGCCTCGGACGCGTTAAAAAATGTACACAGCATAGATTTTTCATTAAGTAGGATTATTGCACTCTGTCCTACTTCGCTCGATCCGATCCAGTCTCGATTAACGGTTTCTCGTGGACCAGTGTGAGGCTCTCTTCGTAGACGTTTGCACACATGGAACGATCAAAGTTTTCTACGAATGCATACTCGGCCAAGCGTACACAAAACGGTCGTATTCGCGAATGTTTCCTGTCCCTTTGGAACATAAACTATTCGAGACTACGCTGTCGGCAAAGTGTTTGGAGGTCGAGGTTGATGTTTCGTATTGCTGAACGTTGCTCGGTCGGTCACGTAGTTGCCGCATTATCCGTGTTTCGTTGCGCTATATCGCCAACTACTATCCCCGTCGTCCTCGTCTTCGACGTCGTCGTCGACGCGCACGGTTCATTCGGTTCCGATTCACTAACGTTCACTCGTATTTCCTTCTTCGTTGCTTGAAAAACGATTAAGCATCGATCGAATATTCCTTTCGGTTTCCTGCTAGAAGCATGTACGTGTAAGTACTTACTCACGGGAAGAAGGAAACGCGTGCACGAGTAAACGTGTCGCTTGATCGGTGGGATGTACCCAGGGAACAACTCGCACGATACGCGCACTGATTTGCACTTGGAAACACAGCTTATCGGAGTTTGCACACAGGGTATAATCGGATTACCGATCTTGTCGAGTCACGTTCGAAAAACACCGTTTAACCCATATTGAGAAACGTCGCGAGCGTAGGCCTCGATTGCACAATTTCATCCGGCTGGCGTGAAATTTAACGGAGATAAGGAAGAAAACGTAAAAGCGCGGAGAACGTTGCCAACGAGTCGATTCTAACCACACGTTTCTCGACCTGACGACAGACTCGAACTGCCACCGACCAACCACTTCTCTCGACACTGTCTCTGCCAACTTGCTTCTTCGTGCTCCTCTACCACTCCTCTTGTCTACTGCCGGTCTTCTTTCTATCTCCCTCTTATTCTCTTTCTCTCTTCGATCCGCGCGCGTGTTCGTGTATCCATGCACGCGTATACCTTCAGCATAGCACCGACACCCGCGTTACCACTACCGGTACACTGTCGCTAACTGCCCCACCACATCGCTACTTTTTCTTCGGTCAACTCCCTCTCGCACTCGGTACTTCGTAACTGTTTCTTTATCTCCTCCTTCCTCCTTCTCCACGCGCGTAGCTTCGTTACTCTCGTCGCACTTTTGCTAGCGAATACAGTTCACAAACGTCGCAACGAATACAGCTGTATATTTCGCGACAACTCGCCGCTTTCCGGCACAGCAACACGTTGTCGTGCTCCACTCTGTCCACGTTTCCACATCGCGATACACAACAGATATAACGCGTGTGTACACGCACCGACGCGATTCCGTGGGCGATCGCGCTAGTCGACGAACGTAGGTAGACGAAAAAGATGGGAAATTAGAGTAAAGAAGATAAAGCTACGACACACAGCTGACGCGCCATGACTGACAGAAGCGCGATCTCGCGTAAGTCAAATGTAACGTCACTTCTCGCGGCTCACCCTCGAACCATCCCTCCTTGTTTACGTGCAGACACTAGTCACGTGATCGCCCGTCAGCCATACAATCTTTCGCGTGCTTGCGTTTTCAAGCGTTTCTCGTATTTCGCTCTGCGTCAGCGTACCATATTTTCACGGCTTATTTAATTTAATTAAAATTCCATCGACTCTGCGAGAAAATGAACGATAACGAATTTTTCGATTCCCGTTTGCTTATTAAAGACAAACGAGCGAGTGGTAGACATAACAAAGTGCAACGTAGTCTTATATTCGCCGAGATACGATTTCATAAGGGTCTCTCGACGATTTCTTTTTGCCATCGACAGAACATCGTTTACGTTGAAAATGGAAAGTCGTATTTATTATTCGGACGAGGAGCGTAACCGCCCGTTCTAGAGACGAAGTAAAAACAGAAAGCGTGTCCGATCGAGTTCAGTGAGACTTCACGCCTCTTTCCGTACCTTCCTCCTTATTCCTTCATATTTTTATAAGTTGCAAAAGCTCTCGAACAAATCCACTCGATCCACACACGTGCAACGTAAAAACCGGCGGAATTACGATCATTTCAAATCTCGCGAGTTCTCTTCGAATTACGATTATTTAACCCAGATGAATTATCCGATCTGTGCTTTACTTTCAAGGAGAAAAGAAAAGGAACAAATTTCTAGGTATATGGCATTAAATTAATTCTCTAGATACGAGTGTAGACATATTACAAATGGCGTCGAAAATATTTAGTACACTTTGATTACTGCCATCTTAAGTGTCTGACAGGAACTGATGATACCTTTTACGTTTCCACTCGATTATATATCAACGTATCAATCGCGTGATATAAATGTTTACCAACGGGGCTTTGAAACGTAATATCGCGATACAATGTTAGGCATTGAAGAATAAATTGTGCCTGGACAAAAGAGGCAAAGCCAAACGGCGTAATGCAACGTATCGTCGAGCAGAGATGAACGAAGATATTCTTTATCTCTTTGTTTCCCAGAGGTGTAACCTTTCGACGACGTACACGCGTACATACCGACGCGGCTTGATCGGACGGAACTCCGGATGAAATTATCAATGACGAGTGGCCGAAAATTCGAATGCGTCGATAAATATGCAACAACTGCGATAATATAAAACGATCGTCCGGTGGATAAGGCGGATATTCTGGAACAGAACGAGGAGTTTGACCCGACGGTTGGTGAAATTATCCAGCGATTTTCCAACGGAAGGTCTGGGAAATGTCAATAAGCATTCATTATTGAATACATTTGCATTTAAACGGACAGTGAAATCTAGATGTCTAGCGCGGATGTTGATTGGCGTCGACGGTGAGGTGGCGCGACTAACGTAGAGATTCCAGTAATAAATCGTAAAACGGTTGGAAGCCGGCACGGTATTCTCCGCATAAAAATAGAGGCGCCACCGAGGGATTCCGTAATGAGCGTAAGTTATGCAACGCATTAAGGACAGTGCCCTCCGTGTGCGGATAACTTCGGGAATTTCCGTTTCTCCACGTGCGAGTAAATCGTATTAAGAGGGTGGTAACGATTACTCTTCGATGCCAAGATCCTCTCTCTCTGCCTATCTTATTTTCTTCTCTATTTCGTCTCCGAACCGTACCGACTCTACCATCAGTCTACCTGACCGATTTCTAACTTTTTCCCTACTTTCCGGTTTTTCTTTTACCATATCTATAATCGATTCTTCGACACATGTGCCGTTCGGAGATGCGCACATTTTCGACCTTTTCCGAACTTTTCCGCTACAAAACTCGATCGTCGCTTAACTTTCTATGTTTAAAAGAAATTTCTACATTTCGCTTGTTTTCCGGAGTCGGTCGATCCGACCGACGAATGGTTCATTTATATCTTTTCTTATTCCGTTCCGTTCCGTTCCGTTCCGCCAGGAGTGACTGGTCGTGATGGGTTCGGTGTTAGATCTTCGCCCACTTTCGATCACTCACAGCGGGGTTCGAGGAAAAACAAGGAAAGGAACGATATCGATAAGATCGTTGACCCGCACGGTGCTCCGTATTGTTTGCTCTCGCGGAAATGAAAGTAACGTGTTAAGATTGCAGAGTGGATAATTACGATTGTTTGCGGCAGACGTCTGATAAGTGTCCTTGCCTCCATTTTCACCTTTCCTCGAAGATAAAGAATTTAAAAATAAATCCGAGTGGAATTAGGCTAAACACACCGCATCGATGGGAAAGAAAACCGCGCGAAACAATCGCCTGTTTCCTGGGTTCGGATATGAACGAATCAGAAATGAGAGAAGAGGAGAAAAGAACGCGAAGACAGTAGTCAAAGCCGAAAGCGAGTGGGAGGAACGGTATCGCGAAGACGAAGATCAGACGTGCGCGTGGCTGCTGCTCGATCTCTCTAGATAGTGTGACTCCGAAAAAATCTTCGTCAACGTTGGTGATCATTAAAATACACACTTGACCTAGAATACCCATAGGTGAAATGAATATAAAGGCGAGGTTACAGAAGGTTCGAGCGACGAGGAGGAAAAACCAGGATGACAAAGAGAAAGACGTTGTTGGCAACGGTTCAAAGCGCAGTTCGACCTAACTAAAATACTGCAGTGCTCCACTACGTGTCGCATACCAGGTGAAAATATTGCGGAACTGTTAGCTTACGAACCGAGAATATATCGTATAACGAACAGCGTGAAAAATCGTCATCGCACTTTCCCTGTTAGATCGGGCACATACGGTTATTTAAATGCGCATCACTCGCGATGACGCGTGCGTTTTTCGTTATCTAAACCGGAGCTAGATAACGATCGCTCGTTTAAATGCGAACGATTCGAAAATTTACACGGCAAAGTCCAATCGCGTCGCGGCGCTGTATAAAAATAAAAACCTCAAGGTCCGACGATGTTTCGTAAGCGAGAAATGATTATTGTCCGTTTTGAAACGAAAAACATCGGCTGCAACAAAGCGCATACCGGTGGATGATTTTTATGAAAAAGCGGAATCGGTAGAGCGACCACGTAAATACAGCCGAGCAGGATTTCCACTCTAATAACGTTAACACAGTGGTCGGGACGTGCGTGGTAACAACAGCGGTCGGAATCAACAATGCTAAACCACGGCAAAGATTTTTAGCTATTTCGCTGTAACGCGGTGCTATTCGAAAGAGAGCGCCCTGTTGTGTGCCGTCCGAGGATTCCTGCGTTACCGACCGAGCGAGCGTCTGCGGACCAACGTACCCAGCGGATAATGCATCTAGTGCCTGGCATTTACGATCGACACACTTGTTTCGTTCTTTATTCCACCTCGTAAAGCGCGGACGCGTGATGCTCCGAAATAGGTATAATTTCTCCTTCGTTATTCTTTATTTTCCCGGGTTATTAATAACGCGAGAGTCTCGATATCGGGTTTCTCCGGGAATGCTTTTCGATCACCAGCTCGATCAACAAACTCGTTGAATTTATCAACTTACGATCTAGGATAAAGTATACTCGATATCTGTGTAACGGAATTTAGAAACAAAGATAATAACGCGTTCGCGTAGGAGAAAATTTCGCGGATGCATTTTCCGATATGGCGACAAAGTGATTTCCGCGTATTATAGGATGATTTACGAGAAGCTACACACTTTCCATTTCTTCCATAGAAATTGCGAAAACAATAGTTCTTACACAACAAATTATACGTCGCACGGCGCAAAGAATACTTCTTTCTTGTGATTGTTTTCTCCCTGCCTTTCCGTGAAAGAATGCATCGCAAACCGAGCCCTGCGACGTGGAAAGATCGAGAAAGAGAAAAATTAAGAAAATCGTCAATTTTTAATTTTATTAAACTTTGTAGTACTCTTCGAATCGATTATTTCTCTTCTTGGAAATTTTTTCGTAAATTCGTTAATAACGAGGTTAGGATCCGTCACATTCGCGTGGTTTACCCTGCATATGGACGAAATAAAATATGGCGTATGCAGAACGAATATTAAAATAAATTTGATACTGAGATAATAGTCCACGACTGATCAAAAAATAAACGCAAAATCCGCTTACCGTAAGCAAAAACAACAACAAAGCCAATAACTCGGCTTTATACAATGGAGTGTCTTTGTCCTCCTGAAAAAGCGGTAAATGCAAATGAATTAGCTGTACATCGTGGATTCGCACTATCGCTTTAAGCAGCCAATATAGACGAAAAGATACGACCGAGGTATACTTTGTTTCCCAATGATATTTGCTTTAACCAGATGTTACGTTAACGATAATGCCATTCCGGAGGTGCCATTACGCAAGAGTACCGTTCTTTCGTTCACAGAAAGGAATTATTGCGATGATAAAGTAGCGGAAGTAAATAAATGTCTAGGTTAATTCCATGTTTTATTATGCCGCTGAACATTATCGTTCCGTTTCAATTTCAGACTGCGGGAAAAAGAAATGCACGCTAGAATTCGCGGAATAAGGAAAATATAAATTGAAATTAAAGGCTGTAGTT